CAACCCTACAGCTTCGTATTGCCTCTCCTCTGCTCTGTAGTACATGGGTTAGCAGCTGGTATGAAATTATGGAAGCATTCAAACCAGTGGCTGATATTGCTATATTGACATGTTAATGAAAAGTGCTGCACGTTTTAATACTTGGACAAACAGACAAAATGCAGCATAGTATATAAGAGCCTTCCCATCTTCTACAGTGACAGGAGTCACAGTTCAACAATATTCAACAGTGTCTGGAATGTCAGGAAAATGCTGGGGTGAAAAATACATAAAGCAAAACACCTAATAGTCTATAAATCCCAATGTACTCTGAATTTGGCAACCTGCTAAAACATAGGCACAGGACCCAGAACCACTGTGGCTAAGCTGAGGCTCTGTGGCAATCTTTCACAATTAATGTTTATGAAGAAAGGAAATTACAACATTTAGTGAAAACATCCATATAAAACCCTTTAAAACTACGACATATGTACTGACACCTCATCTCACAGAACTAGACACATACTAGACAAGGGTTTCCTACTTTTCATTTAAGTAACCATATTACTGCTGACCAATGGCCTGTGCTAAATAACATCTTTAAATATCAAGTGGTAAATGATAAGCACAGACTACCATGAATCAAATTAAATCCTGTCATGGTGAAAGCCTGCGGCCTCATGCAGCTATTCAGTTTCTCCTGGGGGAGTCGCTGCCCTCCCAGAAGAAACCACAAGTGTATAAATGTTCAGGCTGTTTCTCCCAGAGTAAAAATGGCTGCTCCAGGAGAAAAATAACCTGGGAATGACCAGGGTTAGATCACTTCCAGGAGAGTTTCTCTTGGGAGGGCAAATGTGCAAACATGCTGTGGCTTCTCTCAGAAGAGAACACAGATCTCTAGCATCTCCTCTCCCACCTCCCCCTGGTCTCCCCAAGGAGACAGTGTGTTGCTTGCTGGACTCTACTGCTCCAGCAGGGAGCAAAACATACCTCCTTCATTATCCCCACACTGTGCGGCAGGCTGACCATGGGCAGTCTAGGTCAGCCAATCAGGGCTGCCCTATGCCCTTCTGTCATCTGTTGCCAGGCAGACTAAGGGAACTTGGAGAGCATGCATTGTGTGCACAGGGCCCCTCCTGGCTGCACAGTGTCAGCACTGCAAGCTCTCCACTCTTCAGGGCCTTAGTATTCAAATGTCTGTATACATGACTCTGGGTAAATTTCTCTACCAGGACAACAAACCTGGGAGAATTCTCCTACTTTATTTGAATGTGTGTACGCAACCTAAATCTATCCCAACCAGTTGGTCCAATAAGACGTATTACCTACAAACATTTTTGCCTCTCACATATTTCCTGGGCTATCATGGCTACACTATTACCCCAACACCGTTGCCCTGGTAATATTCTGAAGAACTGCATCAACTTAATGAAGATGCCTTTTAAATTAAATAGCTTAATATTTAATTAAATGATGCTATGATATATCACTATAAAACAACAAATCTGCATCAGCATAGACAAGGGAACCACATCAAGAATGGCTGTGGGTGAACAGTGACATCTACTGGACACAAAAGATTATTAAATAATTTTGATTTCTAGCTCTGAGAGTTCTTAAATAGCATTAGCTTTTATATTGTGGTAGTGCTGGAGTGATGTCATAGCTGTGACGGTCCAGGAAATGTGCAAGAGGCAAGGATTTTTGTAGGTGATATCTATTATTGGACCAGTCTCATAACAGGGAGAGCGTGAGGAAGGATATTTTGTGTCTAAAAGTTTGTTTAAATCCCTCCCAACTGTGCAACTGGTCCAATAAAAGTTGCCACCCACAAAAATCCTTGCCCCTCACATTAATTTTACTATGTACAGTATTTAAAAAATATTAGCAAGCATCAGAATCATGAACACTTGTGCCATTGTGCCTCCTGAGAGAAGTAAAAATTCTCGCTCCTTTTCAAAGCATTACCAAATTGCAGCAGTCTATTTTTTGGACAAAATCAAGAAATTGGCTCTTACCTGTGGTCACAGGTTTATGGCAAGATTGTGCCAATACAAGAATCCAAGCAAAAGGAGGCCTAGCAATCAACATCCCATAACAAAGCATGCTGGTAAGAGTTACGCAGGGCCCAGTAAACTGCCAGCTTTTTTTTCCCTTGGGAATTGTGGAAGGCTATGCTAAGGGGAAATGCATAATAGATGGGGAAGGGAAATACAGATAAAGGTCCAGTAGTAATTTTCTATTTAAAAGACTGACTTATATGATATCCCTTACCATAGTATGAGAATCCCTTAAAATCACTGGTACATCCATAGTATCAACACTCCTAGAAGAGATGGAAAGGGTATTATCTTAATTTTATAAATAGTGAAACTGAGGCAAAGAGACCTGTTGTCTGACCAAGAGTCATACAGGAAATCTGTGACCATAGGCAACGCATAGAGGCGGCACGGGGGGGAGGGGGGGGGATGGGGGCACATGCCCTCCCTGAGATTGGCCGCCACCAAAGCTGCCACCAGCTTCTGCGGGCAGTCACCACTTGCTCCCTGAGACTCCCCCGCCACCGCCAACACTGCCACCGGCGTCTGCAGAGGGTCATTGTTCGCCACCCCCTCTCTCCCTGCTGACACCGTCACCAGCATCTGTGGACAGTCCCCGTTCGCCGATGATGACACCGCTGTCAGCATCTGTGGGCAGACCCTGCTCACCACCACTACCGCCACCGCCTGTGGGAGGTCCCCACTAGCCACCATGGTGCTCCCCCAGTCTCGGGAGATACCAGTTGTTCATGTCTGTGACAGAGGTAGAAAATCAACGTAAGCTCCTAAGCTTGGGCCCTAATCACTGGACATCTCTTCTTCTCTATCTGTAGACAAACTTGGGAAAAAGCTGTGACACTGAACACTTGGGAGACCTGATCTATACCAGTTTTATTGTCTAATAAAGTACTAACCCCCATGTATTTTGAAAAAGTGTTTTCACTCCTATCTTCCTTCATCTCCCCATGTCTATGGTAGACAGACCATCCTGACTTAGCGCTGTGGCTGGTGACATGAGTCTCCCACAATGTGAAAAGCTTTGCACTCCTTCTTATTTATTGTTTGTACTGCCACAGCTCCTTGTCAGAGTTCAGGACATCCCAATGTTAGGTGCTGTATAGCATAATCCATTTCAGGCATGTATAAAGATACTGTTACTATAGAACGCAGATGGCAATCCTTGCAAAGAAGCTGACTTGCCTGAATATGACAAAAGACCAAAAATCAAAGACATGACACTTGCATGCTGAAGTCTGATCAGAAAAACATGAACTGTTCTAACTACTCAACAAAGCTCGATCTCCAGAGACAATGGGGACTCAGAATGCTGGAGACAGACAAAACTTTTCTCTGGTAGCCATTTGTCTCTAAACCCTTTTCCACCACTTGACATCACTAGCTACCTACCAATACTTTAGTTTCCCTGTCCATTTCTCTGAGATTTTATTAAAATCCAGCATATATCAGTTTAAAGTGTTCTCCTATTTTTTCCTGCCCAAATAGCCTCTTTGGGCTTATCAGC